GTTACTGGCAACCCCTTAGGAAGTGGTGGAACTTATCGGGTTACCGGGGCTCCGGCTCGAAGTGCAGGAGTAGGAACGGGGTGGTTTTTAGTCAGTAAGAGTCTGACACTCCCTGCCGCTTCACCCAGACGGGAGAAGACATTCGATGATTTTCCTCTCTTAAAAAAAAAACCCTTAGGAACAAATATTATATACATTTCATATAAATAGAGGGAAAAATCTAAGTTCGACTAGACTAGTATTATTATTTGATCTCATTCAATAATTGGATCCTAAATACATATGAAAAGGTAAATTGGAAGGCTTCAATAAATTCAAATAGGTATTCATTTTGCTCCCAATCCAATTTTTGTGTATCATATGCATAAGTACAATTTAATATACCTATGTATAAAGTTTTGAGTGAAATTGTATATTATTATATATATTGGTAAGAAAATGTAATCTGATGAATAAATCAAGTTCATTTGCTTATATCTAACTTTTCTAATAAATAATTGCGGTGTGCAAACATAGAGGTCACGATAGGATATATTTTTGTTTTTCTAATTTAACATTCGCTTACTATGTATGTATAATGTTCATTATGTTATTTTCTAAAACATAATATATGAGAATGATGGATAAGCTCGTGTTAAAAAAATGTGTTTATTTGAGATACTATCAAAGTAATGAACTATTATAATGACATCAAACCATTCATCTGAAAATCAGCGTAGGGCATGTACGCTCAACTTAATGATGAGATGGAGGCCATTTTGGCAACAGCGCGCGCTATTAAATGTTATTTATATCTTGTTTTATTAATTTTTAATTACATACATACATACATACATAACATCACGCCTTTTATCCTCAAAGGGGTAGGCAGAGGTGCACATTATACCACTGTACAATGTAACACCCACTTCCACTATTTATGTTATGAGTCCCATGTAATAGGGGGTGAGCCTATTACCATATACCGGGCACAGTTCCAGACTCCATGCTACTACTGAGAATTTTTTTAGAAACCCAGTAATACTTTGCCCGACCCGGGAATCGAACCCGAGACCCCTTGCTCGGCAGTCGCAATTGCGACCACTCGGCCAACGAGGCAGTACAGTAATTTTTAATTACTGTGTTATTATTGTCACTGTTTTTTGTTATACTCTGTTGTTTCTTTGTTTTTTGGTCTATCATTATTGTTCTATCTTACCTATATAAGTATCTGTATTAATTTCTTCTTTTCATTTTAATTTTGTATTATTTTGTATCTGTGTGCGTGGCTACTGTCGAATAAATGATTTTTCTTTCTTTTCTTTCTTTTTACATTAATAAAACTTGTTATCGAAGCCATTCATTAAAATCCATAGCAGAAACTTACTTACGTACGAAAATTGATTACATACTCACCAAATACTAGTCTCTTTTTATGCCAGCCTAGTTATCGTTTTTCAAAGACTACACTGATCGATCTAGAACATGGTCGACAGCTCATTCGTTCGCACAAATATCGCATTACGTATAATTCATCATGGTGTTTGAAGATAGTCGATACACTGCTTTTAGCATCAGTAATCATGAATAGGACACATTTTTTATAGGTATTACATGTATTCATTACATTAACTATTGTATTCTACTTGTCGTGGTGACTTGAAGGTTTAAGACGCCCACTTCTCATGCATGAGGGTGCAGGTTCGAAACTTACCAACGGCAAGTACCAATATGACTTTTTCCGAGTTAACTATATGTACTTTCTAATATTATTCAGGCACCACTGACAAACGATGAAGGAAAACATCGTGAGGAAACCTGGGCTTATAATTTCTAATTATAAGTTTGAAATCACCAACCCGCATTGAGCAAGCGTGGTGATTAATGCTCAAACCTTTTCCGTGTGAAAAGAGGTTTTGCTCAGCAGTGGGCATTTATAGGCTGTTGATAATGATGATGATGATGAAACCTATTCATATTTTTTTTATATAATGTGACCTTTAAAGAAGATTTGTTTGCATGAGGTCTTGATGTCCTTCAAAATAACACATCAGTTATCTTCGAATACTGAAATGCTACCCAATTTTAAGTTGTACTTAAATATCGTACCATCTCTGTCAATTAACAAAGAATTTATAGTGACAGCACAATACTTAAGCGCGACGTAAAACTGAGTAGCAATAGATAGGTGAAATATGAACGTATTGTTGGCAAATTTTCTTTATGTTTTGACTTAGAGTCTCAACAGAAAATAATGCACAATATATATGGCAGAAGACGTAAGAGACGTAGGAATAAGTCAATCGACTAAAGCCTAACCTATAAATAACCTGTCGCCTTAGATACAGGTTAGTATTGAGCATGTTAGTTGAGCACCAGTCAATAGACTGTACTAACATAGATTGACGTTTATTTGTTTGTGTGCAAATTGTCAGATTTGTTATTTTAAAATTACCAACGGTTTGGAACAAAGTCTTTTCATGGTCTGATAAAGACATTAATTTTATCATCAATCAACAGTAAGTATGTAATTCACAGAAATTTATCTACTCACTAATATATTCAAATGACTGTCCTTACAATTACGTGTGACTACTTCAATGTATGATGGTTGTTATTGTATGTAGGTATAGTATGTCATGGTGGCCCGGAGGTTTAAGACGCCCACTTTTCATGCATGAGGGTGCGGGTTCGAAACCTACCAACGGCAAGTACCAATGTGACTTTTTCCGAGTTATATGTACTTTCTAAGATTATTTAGACACCACTGACAAACGGTGAAGGAAAAACATCGTGAGGAAACCTGGACTTATAATTTCTAATTATAAGTTTGAAATTGCCAACCCGCATTGAGCAAGCGTGGTGATTAATGCTCTAACCTTCTCCGTGTGAGAAGAGGCTTTGCTCAGCAGTGGGCATTTATAGGCTGTTGATGATGATGATAGTAAGAATAAAACTATTGAGTAGAAACAACTTCAATCACATTACATTTATAAAAATCTAAGTACAAAATAAGCCATTAATTTTATCTAAAAACACAGGAACATAAACAACTCCAAGAGCAGTTTTCCACAAGACTAGATTTCGATTGCCTTCATTTCGAGGGAAGCGTTCGCGCCTAAGGCTCTCTCTCAGAATCTTGTACGCCGTCAACTACATTCGTCTAAATGAAAAGGCTTAAATAAAAACCCGAATGAGACTGGTTCTGAATAGACAAGTTGACGTGAACGTGTTCCTAAGAGTTCGTATGAAAAGAGGAAAGGAAACTGGAAAACACGAGGGTTATGTATAGAAGGCGTTTTCCGGAAGTTTGAATGGTACCAAACTGAGCGTGGCACCAAATTATGTTCCGTGTTATCAACATATTGAGTGTAGGGATTACTTTCTGAAGAATTTTGGTATCAATACGTTTTGATGTATATTTCTTTTTTAACTCTGTGAAATAATTTATACCATAGATTGTTGTTGTAATTTCGAATTTAAATATGGATCAGATTATGCTAAAAATGTTAAAGACAATACAAACAACAAAAAACATAACATCACGCCTTTTATCCTCGAAGGGGTAGGCAGAGGTGCACATTATACCATTGTACAATGTAACACCCACTTTTCACTATTTATGTTATGAGTCCCATGTAATAGGGGGTGAGCCTATTGCTATATACCAGGCACAGTTCCAGACTCCGTGCTACTACTGATATTTTTTTAAAAACCTAGTAATACTTGGCCCGACCCGGGAATCGAACCCGAGACCCCTTACCCGGCAGTCGCAATTGCGACCACTCAACGAGGCAGTCCTCGTCAAAGACAATACTTTCATTAATATGAGTATAAATGACTTAAATAAATAAAATAATACAATTTATTTTAAAAATGGTCTTTTATTTAAATCAACTTTAATCTCAAAAACAATCTTTATCTATATCTATTTATAATTTTAACTACAATTTTTACATCGTCTTAATTGCCAGTTGATTATCAATCACGATTGACAATTGCTTTCAATCATCAGTCAATCAATCTATCGTATAACAATCAGTTGTAATCGGTTGATTGATAATCACCTGGTTTTTATTATTAGAGTTATGAATTTAAATATTAGAAATGTGAGTTGTTTGAAATGTAGTATTTATTCTAGCAATTTTATAACTTTACCCTGATATTTAGGATATTTTCTATGCGACATTGGCACAGATGATTTCCTTCAGGCTTGTGTTTAATCCTGATTGATTGTGTTATAAGATAAATACAAATAAATTAAAAAAAACATTGCCCCACACTAGGATTTTCTCCTGTGTCGTGGGTGTGTTTACAAACATACAAATTCACATACACGTGACACCCAGACCCGAAACAATAATTAGTGGATCCACTAAGTGTTGTTCCGTGCGAGAATAGAATCCCACAACCGATTGCCGTGCAGCGTGCCTGCATGGCAATCGGTTGCCCAGCCACCGCACCAACGCACGGTTGGTGCGGTCAGTTCATAAACCTGTTTGTATAACAATATTCAATAAAATTTATGAGCAAACAAAAAGAGAAATAATAAAAGTAAATAGGTACATTAACTAGTTTTCATGTTCAATTGTTCATATCAAAAACTGACAGCACAAAATTGAATTTAACGAGGCAAAATTATAGCTATTCAAAGGCTCAAAAACATCGCTTAGATAAACACAACCTTTTTATTTAAGCTTACAAAAGTTGTGAGCAAAATACCGTACGTCAAAAATAATGGAACGTAAAAATTCGCATCAGCGACTAACCCTAGTTTTTCAAAACGATTGACGTCTGGTTAACAACTGACAATCAGGATCAACGGGCTTCGAACTTTGAAATATTTTTTACAATACTATTATTTTTACAAACGGTCCTTCCACTGTGAAACACTTGTTCTACATTCGATTGATCAATCAGAGACCACATAACAATTTTTATCACTCGTATATACACATCACTTTTAAAGTTTTTCACATTCTCACTTTTTAAACCAGTCCTTGAAAATGTCCGTATGTTATTTACACTATGAGAAAGTATATAACACTTGCAATGCTTATTAAAGTTTGTAGATTGAAACTGCTCGCCCACTGTGCACTTCCCTGCATCGCTGCGGGAGTTTCACCTGTGAAAAGAAATTATATGATTAAAAAATTTGTTCCTGTTTGCGTATGTTAGTGGTGAAATCACCGCTGTAAGTTGATCGGTTACTTAAGTTTTGATTAAAAGGTAGCCTTAAATATTTTTTTTCAATAGTTAATGGTTTAATGGTTTATTTATACATACTTCTTTTTAGTCTAGTTTTTATACTAAAGTGTCTATCACCGTATGTCTACGTTTTTTGGACAGACGACATTATAAAAAGGATGTCTGATAAAGGTGAATTTTATTTAATGTTAATTTTAAGTGAAATGGGGATCTACTTCTTGATGTTAGTCTAGTTTACTCCTCAGAGTAAATAGTAGTTATGGTAAAATTGTCACCACAAAATATGACGATATTTAGGTATGATATGTCGATTTATCACAGAGGGTCAGAGATATTAATATTATTTGTGAAGGTTATCTCAAGGTACGAACGAGAAAATAGCTTCACTAGAGGACTGACCGACAGACTGATATTTTTTGCTTTAATATTTAAATACAATTTTGTTTTGACGTTCAAGTGCCTTCTTGGTCTAATTGAAATTAATGATTTTGACTTGACTTTTGACTTTGTAAACCTACATATTCATAAAGTAAGGACACACAATTTATTTACTTTTAATAGGTAAAAGAAAATTTAATGTAGAGCTTTTGATATCTGTAATGAAGTTGCATTTCGAAGAAATCTGTGTATTTCTGGTTCAGTAACAGCGGTTTTGTGGTTGTAAGGTCTCAGGCCCAGATTACATGCCTAATTTTGTATTTTTTTATGTTGGCATCTTATGAAATTATCGTCGTCACGGCCCAAAGGTTAAGACACCCGGTTCTCATGCATGAGGGTGCGGGCTCGAAAGCTACCAAAGGTAAGTACCAATGTGAGTTTTTCCGAGTTATATGTACACAAAGCACCGCTAATTAGTTGCAGCGCTACACATCGACACAACTGTCATTTACACAGTGTACATGTGTGCGTAATTTCATATAACTGTATATAAAAATATTCGTCCACCACGTTCACATTGGTATTTTCATTCTTGTGTCGGTATACGTATTTTTATAATTTAATGCATAGGTAAGGTTAAAACTATTTACAATCATTGATATGACCCGACATTTTCACTGTCATTATTGTAGTGCTCGTGGTCGATTGGTTAATGAGCACGCTTTTATCGTCTTTCAAGGATCAATGATGTGGGTTCTATTCCAGCTAAAAGTTAATTTTATTTTACCTTGTTATTTTTCTTATTTTTTTTTGTTTTTTGTCATGAAATATAAATATCAGGCTATAAAAGAAGCAAATGAGTTGGTAAATAAAACAATACTATTTTTTATTACAATTAATTTATTTATTATACAAATATGTTGTTTTATATTCAATATTTATATCTAATAATTAATTATATACCACATGTTAAGTTTAAAGTTCTTTAAATCATAATTAATAGATATGACAATAAACCTCATAGTCGAATCGGGAAATATCATGCGGTACAGCGGTAATACGATGGCAGCAACGTTTTTTATTAAGTAGGTAATAAACAAATATACAACATTCTTGTTTTGTAATTTAATAATATAATGTATTATTAAACAGTTTTACAGTAATAAACAAGTAAAACATGTAAAAAATTACACTGTCAACATAATATTTCTTGAAATGGGCGACTTTTTGTCGTTTGAACTTCCATTAATTATCTATTTTACGACGGTTGTTATAAGGTTCAATATTCAGTGGGCTGTATGATAGTAAAAAGAATGTGACGAATGCTATGGAACGATTTTAACTTTCATGACCTTTAGAATCAGGGAAACTTTAAATTAATTGAAGATGGGCGTAAATATAATATGTCAATCAAGTTCGAAAGCAGTTAAATAAATTTGTTAATGAAAAATTAAAGTGAAGTGAATAAACATGTAGAATAGAAAGAAATTATGACAATTTCTAACCACAAAACAATAACATCACTTCACCGTATGTTCTAGACAGCATTTTAATATTCTTAAAAAAATTAAACATTATTTTATGTTAATTTTAATAAAGGCAGAGTTTGACAGGCTCAATAATGATTCCGAAATCAATACAATCACTGATCCTACAAGGCAGAAGGTTGCAATTCGTATACCTTTCTCCATCTTTTCTTCACAATATTTTACGCCCATCCTTATCCGACTTGAAAGTCTTTTCGTCGCTCAATATGATTACACTGTTCGCCCAATCAAAGTAATAAAGTCCTGAGCAAATTCTTAGCGCTTTTGCTGGTGAACCACAATAACAATATTTTCTTCTCTGGCTTCCTGCACCTTAAACCAGAATGCAGGTGTCTCCGTACAGTTTGTATTAAAACATTCAGTGCTGTCGCTGTAGTGCGGGTTGGCAGGAACGGATCAGCCATGTGCCTGGCTACGATGTCGTAGTGCCGAGCCGATGAATTTGCCTTTGGTTTAGGCCCACGTCGACGATGTTTAACGTCACCGGTCTCCGCATATCTGTGCACCCATAACTGCATGGATCTCCTCTGTTGATACCAAACAAATAAGTATTTAAAATACCAGGAAATACTTTACAGGAATTAAAGTTATTTAAAAATAATAATAAATATAAGTAAACACAATGTTAGAATAATAATTTATAATTAAGTAGTGGCGTAAGGAATAAAAATCCCTAACCAGATATGTTTTAAAGAAACACTCCTAACAAAAACAAGTCAAGTTACAATACAATTAATAATAAATTATTAATATATCTTTATAATATTGAACTTCATAATAAGTTGCAATAATTATTTTATTCTAGTGCAAAAATTGATAGGTGTGTCGAGTTACAAAATGAAATAAATATTATTTAGAATATCAACGTAGTATCTTATTTACTCACCGATATCATTAAACGCCTTGCTATTTCAGTTATTGTTAGTTATGTTTTGCTCATGCAAAACAATGGTTTCAGCCTTTTTAAATGTTGATAGGTGTTGGAACATCTTGTAAAAATAAAAATAACTTTGCACACGAATATAAGTAGTGTAGCAATAAACTATGAAATCCTCATAAATTGACAACTAAGAACGCAATTATTTTGTAAGTCGGGTGATTTGAAAAACATGTTTTAAATAGTCGGTAGTTACTTCATAAGCGTGTAAAATAAAATGACTCGAGATTTCTATGGTCGCCACAAACATTGCAAATATACTCAGGTATCGAACCATTAAGAAATCACAGTTAATTACTTTTTTACTGTTTTTATCTTATTTAACTCGTCAAGTACCGGTTTTATAGACACAATTAAAGAACAATAGGTCGCGGTCACCGGTGACCGCTTGGTGTTTGACAGATTAAGTTGGTTGAAATGCATGAAGCCAATGAGATTATTCTAAATAATAAATAACTAGAACTAAAATATAAATAAAAGATATTATAGGTATAAAAAATCTAAAGTATTTACTATTAACATTAACATAAGATTTAGAACAATAGGAAAGGAAAAAAAAGAAAAGATTTAATTGTTTCTAATTTCAAATTTCAAATTTCAAATATTTGATAAATTAATTCTAAAACAACATGTGAATGTTGGAATCGATCCGGCGGCACTTTACTTGACAATTGGAGGCGATAACCATTGCGCCAAGCGCGCTGTAGATGAGATCATCGAAATATTTTATATCATTCAGTAACATAAAATTACAATGAGAAAGCACTATATTTATATGGGTATTGTATAGCTCGATCGTTCATTATTTTTGATTTCGATTTATTCAAAGTTTGTTATGAGTAATTTTATCTTTACCCTCGTTTTTATTTAAACTTATTTACTAAATTATTGCGTATACCGACACAAAAATGATTTTTAAATACCAAGATGTGTGTGATAGACGAATGTTTCTATACATATCTATTGATATGAAATTACCCACACATGTATATTGTGTAAATGATAGTTGTGTCGATGTGTAGCGCCGCTAACTAATTAGCGGTGCTTTGTGTACTTTCTAAGATTATTTAGACACCACTGACAAACGGTGAAGGAAAACCTCGAGAACCTTGACTTAAAATTTCTAATTTTAAGATTGAAATCGCCAACCCTCAATGAGCAAGCGTAGTGATTAATTGTCAAACCTTCTCTGCGTGAAAAGAGGCTTTGTGCAGCAGTGAGCACGTCTTCTAAGCTGTTGATGATGATGACGATCTAATGAAAACTTTTACCTTTAATTCAACTCTAAGTCATTGGATTTAATACCATAACAACCGTAAAATAAGCTCCATTATGCTTATTGTAATATTCGTCAGCAGATGTAGATTTTATTTAACAAAAATGGTAACACGTATTTTATTGTAGTTTACTCTACTAAATAATTCTAGATCGTTTATCTTAGTTATAAACATGGGTTTAGTTTACGACCCTTGTTCCGTTTTGCTATAAAAACGTGTTTTTACATGTTTTTAATTATGTATAACTTCGTAATAAAAATATTTGAGTGGTTTTGTCGTAAAATTTAGGTCCATATTAAATTAAATACTATTATATAAGAATGTGTTATTATGGTAAAAGTACTTAATGTAATCACTAAATAAATAGTATAAAACAAAGTCGCTATCCGCCGTCTGTCAGTCCATATGTATGCTTAGATCTTTAAAACTACGCATCGCATTTTGATGCGGTTTTTTTAATACATAGAGTAATTCTTAAGGCAGATTTGTATGTATTATATACATATTGCACATGTGCGAAGCCGAGGCAAATAAAAATATAAATGACTATATTTACTTTCAAAATTTTCAAAGATAATATACAATACACCCTAATAAACAATGTATCTTGTTATTAGAGAGTAATCTAGAGACGACACGGTTCGCGCGGTGGCTGGACAACCGGCTGCCGCGCAAAGTGTGGCGGGTTCAATTCCCGTACGGAGCAACTCTTTATGTGACTCACAAATTGTTGTTCCGTGGCTGGGTGTCATATGTATGTGAACTTGTATGTTTGTAA